TAAATCAACATTGGAATGTTTATGGGCCAAGATTATGCATGTTCAATCATAGGCAAAACAGTCCCATGCAAGAGTTGAAGAATTACTACATGTCACAAAATCAAGAGGACAACATGTACTATGTTACAAGATCATTTTTTATGTCACAAAGTCAAGGAAATAGCATGCAAATGATATATTTACTTGCTAAATATCAGTTTGCAAATGCTGTCAAAGAGTGGTAACAATTGGCTACATGGCAAGATACAAAGCAATACCATCCAAGAGACTAATGGGCAAAAAGAGGGATAGTAGTATAGTATGCTACAACAGAAAAATGCAACAAGTCATACTAGAAATAGAAGGGAAAAGTGGGGCTGCACAAAAGGAAGAAAAAGGCATTGCCAAGAATGGAAAGTTGGTGATGAAAAGGTGTGCAAAGTGTGTGGCTTTAGGACAGCAGAAAAAGTTGACAGAAAAGGTGGAAAATGGGCTGCAAGCAAGCATAGAAAATATAGTATTCCTTACTATCAAAACAAAACACAACACAAGAAGCAAGCAGAGTAGAGACTACACATAGAGAGCAAAGAGTAAGAGCAAAAAACCAGAAAATAGTTAGCAAGAAACCCTAAAAAAAACAGAAAAAAAGAGAGTGAGATAGAGACACAAGAGGATCATTGAGAAACCAAACCTTCACAACATAGAGTGAAGAGGGGATAGCACATCCAACAAAGGTCATTGGAGTACTTGCAAGAAGGATAGAAAGCTCTTGGTATCCATTTCTTCAAATCTTTCTCCTTTTATTCTTTGCTTTTATATTCATTTCATTCACTCTTTTATGTGTTGTTGAACTGTATATCATGTAAGATCCCCTAAGGGACTAAGAAGTCATCCTCAAGGAACCACAAAAACGAAACGAAAACATAAAAAAATGTGAGATTTCGACCTGGACCAGCAACACGGGCCGTGTCACACGACACGGCCGGCCGTGTCACGCTACTGTATGAAGTTTTTTCCCCAGGCCTTGCAACATGGGCCGTATCACACAACACGGCCGACCGTGTTGCATCACTGTTTCAACTTTTTTTTCACCCGTGTCACACCACTGTTTCCTCCATATTTTTTTACCGTTTTTACCTTAAAAAAACGGTGGCTTATGTTTTTTTTTTTTGTGTCTCGATTTTTTTGAGCCGTGTGGCTTATGTTTGTATGATGTTTGTATGTGAATATTGTTATGGCCCTTGTTGACCTTTGTTTCCAAAAACTATTTTTAAAAGTAAACTCTCGATTTTATCGAGCCATTTTTGACCATGTAAGTCGGATGCCTTGTGCACCGCCATCGACCTAAATCGCATCACTTCAAATATCTTTACAAGCAATAAATCTTGATCCAACGTCAAGTGTTTCTCTTTTCGCATAAAAATACAAAAAAAAAACACAATAAAATATATGATTGGAATTATGCACCATGAACTTTAAAGTGGTGGAGAAGGAATGAGAATGGAACTCTCCTACACTCATTCCGAATGTTTCGAATACAAGGCGCTCGACTTGGTTATTCGAGACATTCATCTCTATCCAAAGTCTTTTGTATAATCCTAGTCAAGAACACATTTTCTTCAAAAAAAACTAAAAACAACATCAACTCATCAAACTATTTTTGCCTTAGGGCGTCAATCCAAAAAACCCTTTTTCAAGGTATAAAATCAACCAACAAACAACAATTTCATAAAGCCTCTGAACTACGGAGCTCTGATTCTTCACTTCTTTTAAGTGAGGATACGTAGGCACAAGGGCCACAATCCTTGGCGAGCACTATAATAAAACAACCAACCCCTCCTTTCCTTAAGCAAACAAACTTTTAAGATAAAACACCCATTCACGCCAAATAACCTAGAAGGTTCCCATCGAGTACGATGAATGCGAGGGGTGCTAACACCTTCCCTTCGCATAACCGACTCCCGAACCCTAAGACTTGGTTGCGACGACCACACTCTTTTCCCTAAGGTTTTATCGCTATTTCCCTTTCCCTCCGTTGGGATAAATAAAATTCGGTGGCGACTCTGTGTCATTTTTCGCGTAGCGACAGTGACAGAGCCATCCAAGTGGGCATTATACCTATGTTAGTCTTATTTTCCATAGTTAATAGAAAACAATATTCATTAAATTCTATGTTGATGCAATCACCAATAATCAATAGTTTCATATATACCTGGCAATTAAAGCTGCAAGAAAATACCTGACGGTTAGAAGTCTCCTTTATCTTCAATCCTCATCAAAAGTATCATAAGAATTACCTCCGTTAGATTGGTTTTGCAAAAAATATTTTGAAAAATAAGGGAGAAGTCTTTAAAAAAATTATATGAAATAAATACCATTTTTAATCAAACTTTTCCAATTTATTATTAAATTTAATTTTACCTCGCTCAATCTTCTCAAGCTCTTCAATATCATCTTGTGTGGGCAATGGTGAAGGTGATCCGCCAAGCCAATCTTCTGTGCATATAAGTGCTTCCACAGATTTAGCAGTTAGGTGACTACGATATTCATTGAGCACCCTTCCTCCGGTACTGAAGGCGGACACCGTTGAGACGTGTATAGCTAATAACTCTCTCGCAATGTTAGATAGGATTGGAAGTCGACTTGAATACACCTTCCACCAATTTAAGATATCAAAATTAGGAATATCATCTTCTAATCCATCTTCTAGGTACTTTGTTAATTCAGATTTCACTCCACTTGGTTTGACACCACTTGATTGCAAAAATACCCCATAATAAAAGCCGGGATTTCCAATTCGTCCAACTAATACGGGTGGTTCTGCAGAGTCACTTTGAGATCCACCTGTCCCACCACCGTTATACTCCTCAAATATTGTTTTCAAATCTAATTATAATTTATCCTTCAAGAAATCAGCCTCTTTTTTGACAAAGTTTTTTTTCAATAAACCAACGAGCATACATCATTTTCTTCCTGGGATCTAACACAAAAGAAATTAACAAGAACATGTTCAATTTCTCAGGACTTCCCCAGTACTTATCATATTTCTCCTTCATCTTTAAAGCTATTTTTCTTGTATGAGCTAAAGATAGATCCTTAGACGAACACATGTCTTTTATAGCTAAACCAATTGAAAATACCTCTGCCAAGTACATATTACTTGTCACGTATGTTGAACCCGATATGCGCAAAGTGGAAGCCTTAAAAACTTCCAAAAATTGAGCGACCGCACATGCCTTCTCCCAATCTAAAGGAGTAGGAATGCTGCTCCCACTCTCAAGTTCTTGACAATATTTTGTATCAATAATACCAAGCTCAACAAATGCCATTTCAAGTTGTAGAGCAGCCTTCAACATGTCATATGTTGAATTCCATCGAGTCTCACAATCAAATTGAACACTATCTTTGTATTCAATCTGTCTACTTCTAACACATGCCAAAAACTTATGTTCTTGACCCGGAGAAGACTTAACATACTTAACAGCACCCCTGATTCTAGAAACAGAAATGTCAATTTCTTTTAGACCCTTTTTAACCACTAAATTCATGACATGTGCACAACATCTTGTATGAAAGTGATCTCCATTCAAAACCAAATCATTCCTTAACCTTAGCCTCTTTTTTAGATTTTCAATCCCACAATCATTTGACGTCGCATTATCAACAGTCACACTTAAAACATTATTCAACCCCTAATTGTCCAAGCATTTTGCAACTGTATTTGCTATTACTTCTCCTGAATGACTTAAGACCCTAACAAAACTCAAAATCTTTTTGTGTAATTTCCAGTTGTTGTCTATAAAATGTGCTGTTATGCACATGTAAGTCATGTTTTGACATGAAGTCCAACCATCTGTGGTCAAGCACACGCTTCGACAATGTTGGGAAAGAAAGGTCTTCAATTTTTCCCTTTCAAAATCCCATAAAGCTAAAACATCACGTGCTACTGTGCTTCGGGAGATTGGAATAAATCTTAGTTGCAATACACTCATACAACGACGAAAAGCTTTATGATCTGCATGCATATATGGAAGCTCTGTTTCCACAATCATATCAACCACTGCCTGCCTACATTTCTCTCGGTCAAATTTTCCTAACACAATTGCTGAAGGAGAAGTCACATTTGTTGTTGATGATGGGGTTGTTTTCAATCTCTTATTTACTTCACTATTTGGGTTACTCTTGCATATCTTTGAATGTTCGGCCATGGAAGTCATTCCATTATTGGACTTTAACTTAGAGTCACAGTAGTTGCATCTAGTTATTCCAATCAAATCTGGATCAGGAGTGAAGTGGTTCCAAACAAAAGATTTGTTTCTTCGATGGGGTGGTGCCCGAGTAAAAGTAGTTCCCGAGTTTTGTATTGTCTCATCTGTCGTAAGATTATTATGTTTGGGCATTTCCTGCTTTTGATAGAACAACCAAATGTTAAATTAATTCAAAGAAATAAGAAATTAATAAAAATTATGCAGAGATGTTAATAAAAATTACTAAAAGCATATTGATTTCAAAATTATTTATGGTTTATATGTTTAAACATAACAGTTAGTTATAGTGATAGGAAACTTGTATAACACCATAGAATAATAAAAGTAAAGTATCTTTCACAGTTGCTAATGCTTGGACAATTCCAAACACGGAGTAAAAGCAGTACAATTATTTAACTAATGTATATTTACATTTGGGGGTCAACCTAAAGCAACTAAAAGTTTGTAACTATAAGAAACATTTATTTGCTTTCTTCCCTATAGTTACGCTCAACAGCTTCATGGTTTAGTGCTTGTATCTGTATAATAATTTTTGGTACTGTTAACACAATTGGTTGCACCTGCGACCCACCAATCTTTTGACATGTTTGAAGAAGACATTGTCTACACTTAGGACATGATGAGTGTTCCTTTAGCCATTTGTCAATGCAACGAACATGAAAACCATAAATAATTTTGGAAGCTTGTCCAATTGAGTTTGTTTCATCTTCAGATATCGGTTTCTTAAAGAGTATCGTCGGGAAAATACCCAAGATGACTAAAGTCATATTTCAACTTTGTAACGCGATAGATGTCGAACCATCAACAAAACAACCATACGACGCTATAGTAAAGGATCTCTTGACAATCAAATCATTTGCAGCAGGCATCACGGTCCCAAAGGATTACATATGGCCTGTTAAACCAGACAAATATTTGGGACATCCCACAACATTAGTAGCTGCTGCACATAAATTAGGACTAGAAGTATATGCTTCTGGTTTTGCTAATGATTTGACTTTGAGTTACAGTTATAACTATGATCCAACTGCTGAGTACCTTCAATTTTTCGACAGTAAAGATTCTGTTGACGGTGCTATCACTGATTTCCCAGCTACAACATCAAATGCCATTAGTGAGATTACAAATCTGAAATCTCCAACTTCAAGTTCATGATTTATTTTCTTAAAAAGCAAAACCACCTTTCAAACCTTTTTCGCAATTTTGTTGTTTTACAGGGTGCTTCGCACAGAACAACACTGCGCATAAAAAAGGACCAACTTTAATCATAAGCAGCAACGGAGTGAGCGGTGTGTACCCAGGCAGCACTGATTTAGCCTATGAGCAAGCTATAACCGACGGCACTGACATCATTGTACTAGTTCAACAATAAACTTACAAGCTGTAACATGAATTCTACTACAACATAGTACAATTATGAAATCATTCACAAATAAACAAATCCACATCTAAGAAGGATGTTTTGCAATCTCTAATATGAAGGGAGGAAATAATCTAATGATATGTTAATCTAGGATCTCCCATGTCCAGACTAAGTCATTGTTAATAGGTGTTAGCGATAAAATAGTACTAAATAGTTAAAAAGAAAAAAGCAAAAATTGTTTACATTACATGGATGAACAACTGTTCCAGTTCCAGTTCCAATTCTAATGCCCAGATTATAATATAGTAGGTTCCATTGATAAATTAGTTGCTATTATCTAATATAAAACTATACACTAGATGAATAATTTTCATCAATTGTTAAACCAAAGTAGAAATAAGACACCTGATTAATAAAATGTCTGGGGTTTTTCTAAACGTTTGTTGAGGTGAAATTTCCAGAATAAACTTGCAATAAGTGTTGCACCCTAAAATTTGCTCAACCTTATTCACCTGGTTTATGTTTCAATTGCATTGGCATTTGCATATAGAGTCATGTACATAGTCTAACCATCTGCATAGCATAGCATAACAAATCATCCAACAAGGGACCAAGCACTATTCTCATCCCTATGAGCCTATCAAGAGGTTATTGTTCAAATTCAAGCATACTCAAGTCATCAGAAAGAATTTGAAAGCTGGGAAGTCAGTGGATCAAGCATTGAGTCTATCTCCTATCCTGAGGGTATCTGAGGATCATCAAAGAAGTTGTGAGTTGTAAATTGAGCATGGAGAGTATGTAGGCATCATGGAAGACTTAGAAAGTCATTTGGAGAAGGAGACAAGTCATTGATGTGATCACAAGAATTGCAGTTGAAGACAGTCAACTAGGGTTTCATCTGGGTCAACTCTAGGTTAACCCTAGGTCAATTGATTTATTGAAAGGCATTGAGGTCTATTGGAGAGATTTGGGGTTCATCATTTGACATTTAGAGAAGGATATGGTGATATGCCAAGAAGAATTCAAGAGAAATCAAGGAGAAGAGGAGTTTCTAAATTAGGGTTTATGTGTAAAATCCCCTAATTTAGGTCAAATTTCCAAGCAAGATAAGTCAAAATGCAAGCTTCAAATGGATCCTTGGTCAACATGAAACTTGTAGAGGATCTCAAGAACTTTAATTTGAGTGGTGGAAGACATCTAGGATATTTATAGAACTCAAGTTATGGTCCTTGCAAGTTACAGGTCATCTGAGGTATCTGAAATTTTGTCTGTAAAAGTGACTTGTCTTCCAAGCAATTTTTACCCCTCAAGGAGATTTAAAATGAATTTCTGGTAAACATAAGAGTTGTTCCTCATTGTCTTAGCTTTCTAGAATGGTATGGTATGCCTTCATATGATGTGTGGAACTCTACTTATGGTCTTGGCAAGCAAAGGGTATTTTGGTCATCTGAGAATTACAGGTCATTTCAAGCCTATGCCCAAAAATCATACAAGGAAGCTTCAAATGGAAACCTTCACAACATCAAACTTGCTCCAAATGACATTTTGAGTCTAGGAAAGTGACCATGAAAGATTGGAAAGACTCATAGCACAAGGTTTCAAAATTGGTGGATTTAATGAATAAAAAATGACCTAAATTTGAGATTTTTCATAGTTTGGCCAAATAAGGTGAAATTATAGGTCATTTTGATTGGAAAAAATGTTTTAAGAACATTGGCAAAAGTAGAATTTTGAGTTTGGTTCAAGATTTGAGAGATATGCATGGTTACTTACAATGAAAGTTACATAATCCAAATCCAAGGGAAAGTGTGCATGGGAAGCTTCTCCAAAGTTCTAGGAGGTTCTAATCTCATCTATATATTGATATGAAGAGCTTCATGCCATGTTTGGTGATTCATATTGATCAAAACACAAGTTTCACACAATTCTTCCAATTTGCAAAATCAATTCAAACTCTCTCAAATCTTTACCAATTTCCATTTTTCTTGATCTGGTCTTCATCACCATCATCCATAGATCACAATTCACACAAGAATTTGGCTGAATTGAGCAAGGATCGTGCCATACAAGTTCCATCATCCAAGGTGCAAGAAGTTGGAATCACAAGATCCAAGAAGTTTGAGTCAGAATCTTTGCATACAGAATCAAGGTTGGAGTGTGTGGATCAGTTTCAAATCACTGCAAGCATTGGATCAAGGAGTTCCATAGCTGTTTCTTCATTTTGAACCAGGTTGGTATCTCTACTCGAATTGCATGATTTAGCTAGCATGTTAGTGATTTGTTAGCATAGAATGGTTAAGTTAAGTTAGATGATGAATTCCACAAAGTTTGGAGAGTTTTCATGAAGGTTGTTAATGGAGTGCAAGAACTGTTAAGGCTTATAACTCTTAGATTAAAGCGTGATGATCTTAGGTTATTAGCTCATAATGATCAGTGTAAGATATGGATTAGTTTAGGGCAAGAATTAGAGAGAATTAGGAGGATTGATCACAAGTGAAAATGGTGGATCAGAATTGTTATGCCTATCGGGTTTGAAGTTCTAGGCTGTTATATTGAAAACTATTGATATAGTTGTGTTCTACGTGAGAAGTGGAGCAATTTTGGTGTTTATATCGTGGCCTTTCATGGAGAGACGAGGGAGATATGATGGCTGGAAGCTGGCTGAGTCGAGCTCGTGTGCAGGGTTTATTCTGCAAACCCTAGAGTTGATTGAGGAAGACGATCCCCTGGTCGTCCGATCATGCCAATTATTTGACATTTTCTGCCCATCCAATGGTCCATATTTGAAGGAAAATACGGAGGGAAAAAGCCAAGTGAAACGCACCGTATCACTTAAACATCAGCATGGGCCTTGGATCCAATTTCATATCCCCACCCCCCATTTTGAGAAGCCCAATAAATGAACTTGATTTCGTTGCTTTCTGCACCGCTTGCATTTTAATTTTTCTTTTATGTTTTCATTTCATTTTCTGATGCACGTTGGGCCTAATGCAAATGATATTCGCGCCCCCACTTCTCAAGCCCATCAAGATTTGAACTGGGCGAGCTTTCTGTTCAGACCCCCTCCCCATTTTATTTCTATTTTGTGTTTTTATTTTTTTAATATTTTTCTCATCTTTAAAAAATCATAAAAAAATGAAAATAGCTTAGTTTTAATTGGTTCTTTTTTCTCTGGGTCAATAATTCTGTCTAGAAAAATATGAAAAAATAAAAATGGCATTTTATTTTGTTTTAATAGTTTTTCATGCATTTTTCTTGTAAATAGCATTTTATCAAGTTTAGTTTGATACTTAAATTTGTTGATTTTTGTTCTAATAGTTCCCTTTAGCTTTTTAATCCATTCTTTTTAGGTTGATTAGAGTAGACATTTATCTTGTATATAAAATTTAGTTCATATTTTTAGGACTTAATTTTAGGAGATTTGTTTAGGTGTGAACAACATGACCAAAATTAGGGTTTAGGTGATAACATAGGAGAATTAGTTCATTTCCCTTAGGAGTTAGAGATTGAATTTTTGGGGTATGGGACTATAGGGATTATGGGTAGTTATTAGATCCCTTAGAAAATTTTAGGATTCCCCTAATGCTATTAGTACTGCCTGTATTTGCTTGACTGGTGTGGTGTGCCCTCTCTGGGGATTATGATTTGTCTGTGTGGGTATTGGGATTGCCTGGGGATCGGGAGAGCTGAAGACTTGTGATGATGAAGCCATTGGAGATCAAGAGCTTGAAGACCAACTTCCAGAGTTGATGAGGAGATTCTTGCTAGCAGCTGTTGGGGAGTATAGGGATAGGAGCTAGGCAGAGCTCTAGATTAGAAAGCTTGTTTCTCAAACATGGAATGCCTTGTCTGCATCCATCCTTTCTCTATGATTCAAAGTCTCTTTCAAATATCCACCTCCTTCCTTTGGAAGGATCAGTGAATGTATTTGAAAGATAGAACTTTTGAGAGAAAATTGTCAGTATAATGTTAACAGTTAATGAACCACCCTTGGTAGGTAACTGACTGGCTAACATTCATTCACTTCATCTGGTTGACTGATGTTCATCCTGGAGTTTGAGACTTGAAGAAAAGCCATTGCAGATGGAAGACTGATAATCAAAGCCCTTGCTTGAAGGCTGTGGAGATGGAGATTGATGCTTGCTGAAGCTTGTAGCTGTTTGGAGATGACTTGAAGTCAGATGTTGATGCAGAGCTGCTGTGGCTGTTTATTTTTAGCTGTTATTCATTTCTGATGTATTGATTGGTTTTCCCGGATTGTATTGTTTGCTGTTTACCATGTTGGGTTGAAAGTGAATCCTGTTCACTTTTGCCTATTGTTTTCTAGGTTCAAGGTTGAGTGGGACTCCCTTGCCTCGCTTGTATTGTTGCATCCATGCATTTTACTGCTTTACTGTATATATCTGATATTGTTTCTGTTTCCGTCTATTCCCTTAGGATCTCTGTTTCTCTCTGTGCAAGAGAGGAGCATGATAGACACTAGGTCTTAACCCATGCACGATAACATTAGGTTAGTTTGATTCCCTTCGCAACCATAGGTTAGAGTTCTGTCTCTTCATTCTCAAAACAAACAGAAAAACACAATAAGATTTCAAACACAATAAAAGACACTTCTTTCGTAAAAGAATGTGAACTCATCAAAACGTCATTTTTGTCCGCTTGGACCAGTAATCAGGAAAAACTTTTTTCAGAAGGAATAAAAACAATCAAGACAGACCTGTGTCGTACGTGGCCCGAACTACGTTTGCTCTGATCTTTCATGCTGTATGAAAGTATTTAGGCATAGGATGCGATATCCTAGCGAGCAACCTTCCCCTCCTTTCCCGTAGGTAGGCGAACTACGTTGACTCTGATTTCTCGTTTCAGTCGGGAATACGTAGGCATAAGGTGCGATGCTTTGCCGAGTCATTTTATTTTCTTTTCAGACCTCATCCTTTAGTTTAGATAGAAGTGAAATCCTTACAAACCAAGCAAGCGTGGATCCCGTCGAGTACGACGGACGTGAGGGG